ACTGAAATAATCTGTCCCTTGTATACTTGCAAGAATTTGCCTATCTTGGCCTGACCATTTTTTTTGTGTGTAGATTGTAAACTACTTATGGTTCGGTATCTCTAGTGGATATTTTGAAACATTCATCTTCTCTGTTTCTTACTGGTCAGTTTTAGCAATTTATATTTTTCTAGAAATTTGTCTTTTATCTAATATTCTGAAGTTTGTTATCAAAACTTGTTTGTAATATTTCCTGTCATTTTATCTCTGCCACATTTTAAATTCGAATATGGTTTATGTTGGCCTTTTGTATTTTTGTTTGAAAATCTTGCCAATATTTATTTGTCTGTCAAAACTTGTTTGTAATATTTCCTGTCATTTTATCTCTGCCACATTTTAAATTCTAATATGGTTTATGTTGGCCTTTTGTATTTTTGTTTGAAAATCTTGCCAATATTTATTTGTCTGTAGAGAAATAATTTTTGGCCTTGTTGATCTTCTGCCTTTGAATTTCATTTTCTATTTTCGGAATTTCTGTTCTAATCTTTAATTGCTTTCCTTTACTGTCTTTGTCCTGGGTTTTTGTTTGTTTGCTAGCTTTGCTTTATCTTGCGTTTGTTTCTGTCTTGTTTTTATTTTACTTGCTATGAATTCTTAGCTCATAATTTTCAGCCATTCTTCTAATATAAGCATTTAGTCTATAAAATTTTGTAGAAGTACTGATTGTACTACACTCGAAGGATTTTGTGAAGTATTTTGTTCTCATCTCGTTTTAAACATTTTCTAATTTCCATATGCTTTTTCTTTAACCCCCAAGTAATTTAGAAGTGATTTTTTCCACTTTAATTTTGAAGTGCGTATTTATTCTTGCTTTTTAATTACTGATTGCTATCACTGAAGAGTGCTGTGGAGAGATTGTAATTGGTATGAAGCCAACTATTTAAAATTTGTAGGATCTTGCTTTATGATTTAGCATGTGCTCAATTTTCATAAGATCTGCACATTACTTAAGTGTTGTATCAATATGACTGTCCTGATTTTGATCTTTGTACTGTAAGATGTTATCATTTGTGGAATATAGTGAAGAATAAGAGGGGTTTCTTCATACTTTTTTTCAATATTTTTCAAAGTCTGAAACTATTTCAAAATAACAAGTCAAAAAGTTTTGCAAACATGTAAAGCTATTAACAGAATGGTGAAGAATTCACTGCCTTCTCCCATATCTGTAATCCCTCCTGTTCTTTGCCCTTTCCTCCTCCTCATCTAATCGCAGATGGTGATTATTAATAATAGGCTGAGTCCTCCTTTGTATCTTCAAATCATCAGAGAGTGGGGGTCAGGTCATAGATGTGATAAAGAGATTGCTGCAGACAAGATTGCACCCGGGAGCACATTCATGATTACCAGACGCTCACCCTAGTGGAAGTTCACCACCTAATAATAGGCCCCTAACAAGAGGAATTCTTGGCCTGCTATTAGCTTTTCTGGAAACTAATATTATACAAAAAAAATCTCATAAAATATATTCTACCACTATAATACAACTCTGAAGGTAATGATACAACCAATGTTTCCTTCCGAAACAGTTTAAGATGGATTTTGTAAGTTTATGTATTAATCTGTGAAAACAATTATTGCTAAATTTATATTATTGATGGAAAAAATGAGACAGAGAAATTCATCAGCTTGTACTGCTGCATACCAGGTATACCATTGTCTTTGTATTGTTGGTCTTATTTGTTTAGTACTCCAGAATGATAAAGTAATTAATCATTAAGGGATCTAAGTTGACGTATTTTGTTTTCCTAAAATAAATTGAGGAAAGGGTAGAGAAGAGAGAACTTGAACAACCACTGCCGAGATGGAGATCACTGTACGTGATCACAGCATTTACCTAATCTTAGTTCTATTTCTGAATATTTAAATAAATTTTATTTAACCAAAGTCTAACTTTTCTCATAACTTCACCTACAAGGAAGATAGGATTCACATTTTAACACTGATTTAAATCTTTAGTACAATAAGATTTACGAATGATTTTGTGGCTGCATTCTACACCTGCTGACAAAATATGCTAAGTCACTTTAAAAGGACAGTGGCACAAGCTGTAAATTACTATAGTACAGTGTGTAAGCCTCTGATAATATATTACGTAGATAGATAGGTACAGATAGATATATATACACATGTGAACAAATCCTTTTTTAAAT